AATATTATAATTATATAATTTATTATAAATTTTTTTAAATTAGCCAATCAGAATTGACTTACGTGGGGGGGAGGGGGGGTACCTCTATAGTAAAATAATATTACGTAATATATGTCACCACCCTTATCATAACCAAAATTAAAATAAATCCCTAACAACCGAATCGAATAAACTAAGATTGAGCTATACATAAAATACCAGTTGAGATGAACTGTTAATAACGCCGGTACTATACAAAATGGATTTTTATAACCCCCAAATCGAACATCTATCAGTCAAGCCAAAGCATATCAATAACCCAGGAGAAATACCCAGTATCATACAAAAGAGACCCTGCCATAACAAGCACAAGGAAAGTCTTAGAGTTATGAACCACGTCGAAGAATCATTAATAAAATATCCTGGTGCACCTATTGTAATAGTAAAGGGCATAACGTGTCCATATGTCCAGCCGTAAGAAAATTAGATAAAAAATGCATCGCCCTAACTAAAACTCTTACCGATGAACAGGCCGCAGAATTCCAACAACTAATTAATGAAGCTTCGGAAATAATTACATCGACGATGCTCAACTTCCTCAGGCCCTGGAATTAGTACTAGAAGTATTAGAGGATTTAACAAATAATAAAAGTAAGGAAGTGCCTATTCTATACCTACCCCCATATATCCACCATGCTTCATCTGATCTTTCTACCGAAAGATGTCGACCTTTCCATTGTTCTCGTTCATCAGAGTTCGTTATCTTGTCATCTTTGTCAGCTACGATTCCAAGCCAAGAGCAATATCCACCCGGGTCAAATTGTCCCTTGACCGTTTAGACGCTTTGAAGTTGTCCTTTTTAACTTCAATTCTATTTTCTTGGCCAATTCCAAGGTTATTCTGTCCCTTCAAATTGCTTTCTTTAGCCGATTTCGAGTCCTATTTCAGCGATCGATTTCCGTCTTTTCCAATGCCGATTCCATAATAGCCAACGTCATATGTTTCCTTAGTGAAGCCAGTCGCACGTGGTTCCTGGTAATCAACGAAGGCCTCATGTTCGTCC